GTTGTGAACCAGGGTGGCTTTCAGCCTTCTCGTGGCGGTGGTGGTTGTTTTACTCATGGCCATGGTCGAGGCAGAGGCAGAGGCTCAAAACTTTGCACTCACTGCGGTCTTACTAATCACACTATCAATTACTGTTGGGATCTTCATGGGAAACCGCCACCTTCTTCCTATGCACATCAAGTGACTTCTAATGATGGGGATTCTTCTCTCACTGCCACGCCCACTTCTCCACATATGGCTGTTAAAATTGTTATGGTCACGATTCCACGCGATGAGTATGCTCAATTTCTGTCTTAACAACGGCCTTCCACCTCATCTTCCATGGGGTCCTTGGCCCACTCAAGTAGTGCCCCTGCCTGTTTTTTGTCCTCTAGTCAAAGTCCCTGGATTCTTGACTCTGGCACATCCGATCACATGACTGGTAGTTCTCATCTCTTATCTGATTTTCAATCTGTTCCTTCCTCTCAAAGTGTTACTCTTGCTAATGGATCATCAACTAAAGTTTTGCGTTTGGGAACTATTCATCTAACCTCTTCTATATCCCTTTCCTCTGTGTTACATGTTCCTCAATTCCCTTTTAATTTATTGTCCATTAGCAAAATTACTAAATCTCTTAACTGTTCTGTTACATTTTATCCCATATGTTGTCTTTTTTAGGATCTCAAGACGAAGAAGAGGATTGGTACAGGACATGAAGTAGGTGGCTTGTATTATTTCGATCTTGCACCATCTCCCACGGCTCTTCAATCATCTTTGTCTTCTTTCCAGTGGCACTGTCGTCTCAGCCACCCATCACTATCAGTTTTGCAGCGTCAAGTCCCCGATCTTAGTCGTGTTGAGTCCATGTCTTGTGAAACATGTCAGCTTAGTAAGCATTGTCGTGTATCTTTCAAACCAAGAGCTAATAATCGTGTGGCTAGTCCTTTTCAATTAGTTCATTCAGATGTATGGGGACCAATAAAACATATTTCTATTAATGGATTTCGTTATTTGTGACTTTTGTGGATGATCATTTTCGGCCGACTTGGTTGTTTTTAATGGAAAATCATTCTGAGTTGTTTTCTATTTTCCAAATATTTCGCAAAGAAATAAAAACTCAATTTGGGTGTTCCATTAAAGTTTTACGTTCTAACAATGCCAAAGAATATTTCTCGGACCCTTTTGAGACTTATTTTCATCAATCCTCTTGTACTTAGACTCCGCAACAAAACGGAGTAGCTGAACGTAAAAATTGTCATCTTCTGGAAGTCTGTCGTGCCCTTTTATTTCATATGCATGTTCCCAAACGATTTTGGAGTGATGTTGTTCTTACGGCATGTCATCTTATTAATCGGATGCCCTCGTCAGTGTTAAAAGGTAAATCTCCTCATTCTGTTTTATTTCCCGACTCCATATCGTTTAATCTGACTCTGAAGGTCTTTGGCTGTGTGTGTTATGTCCATAACCTTGGACCCGGTCTTAATAAACTCAACCCTCGTGCCACTAAGTGTGTTTTTCTTGGGTATTCTCGCACTCAGAAGGGCTATCGTTGTTATAGTCCTCATTTTCAACGTTATTTCACTAATGCTGATGTAACGTTTTCTGAGTCTCTCCCATATTTTTCTGATTCTACTACTCCTCTCGATATTACTTCTGAGCCACCTATACCAACGGTTCCATCTCAGTTTCCTACTTCCGCACCTCCTCGCTCTGCTGTCCCTTTGCAGGTTTATACTCGACGACCTTGACCGCCTACTTCGCTCCCTCCATCTCCTTCAGAGTCTTCGGATCCGACGCCTTTACCTGATGATTTGCCTATTGCTCTACTTAAAGGTATTCAATCGTGTGTTACTGCACATCCCATTTCTAACTTTGTCTCCTACCGTCATATTTCATCCACTTTATCTTGTTTTTTATCCAAAGTATCTGCTACTTTTGTTCCCAGGACTTTGCAGGATGCTCTCTCTGATTTGGGTTGGCGACAAGCCATGGTGGATGAAATGGATGCCCTTCACCGTAATGGAACATGGGATCTTGTTCCCTTACCTCCGGGCTCCAAAACGGTTGGTTGTAAGTGGGTCTACACAGTTAAATACCTTCACGATGGGTCTATTAAGCGGTTGAAGGCTCGTCTAGTGGCAAAGGGGTACACTCGGACTTATGGTGTTGATTATGATGAGACTTTTTCCCCTGTTGCTAAGATTTCTTCTATTCGGGTTCTTATTTCCATTGCTGCCAATTGTAACTGGCCGTTGTTTCAATTAGATGTCAAAAATGCCTTCTTACATGGTGACCTAGTTGAAGAGGTTTATATGGAGCAACCACATGGGTTTGTTGCTCAGGGGGAGTATCGTCACACTGTTTGTCGCCTTAAAAAGGCCCTGTATGGATTGAAACAATCTCCACGGGCTTGGTTCAGAAAATTCTCTGAGGCGACATTAGAATTTGGTCTTAACAGATGCCAGACAGATCATTCGGTATTTCACCTGCGCACTAAAGCTGGCTTCATTTTTCTTGTGGTGTATGTAGATGATATTGTGATCACAGGTGATAATTCTGCAGGCATTGCTAAGTTGAAGTTGTTTCTGCAAAATCGATTCCACACTAAAGACTTGGGTAAACTTAGGTACTTCTTGGGTATTGAAGTTGCTAGATCTAAGGAAGGTATAAGTTTATCTCAACAAAAATATGTGTTGGACTTGCTAGAAGAAATGGGTATGTTAGGTGGTCGTCCGGTTGATGCTCCTATGAATTCAAATACAAAACTTGTGTCTGATGAGGGTGATCTATTTAATGACCCGGGTAGATTTCGTCGCCTTGTTGGGAAATTAATTTATCTCACTATCACTCAACCTGATATTTCATATGCAATTAGTGTTGTAAGTCAGTTCATGGGAGCTCCTAGAATGCCACATTGGATTGTTGTTCTTCGGATTATCCGATATCTCAAGCAAGCTCCAAGTTTTGGGTTACTATACAAATCAAATGGTCATCTCAGGGTGGAAGGTTTTACAGATGCTAACTGAGCTAGTTCTCCTTCAGATAGGAGATCTACTACAGGCTACTGTACATTTGTAGGAGGAAATCTTGTTACATAGAAAAGTAAAAAGCAAACGGTGGTAGCTCAATCTAGTGCTGAAGCTGAGTATAGGGCAATGGCCCATACCACTAGTGAGTTGACATGGATACAACATTTTCTAAAAGAATTTGGTTGACAGTTGAAACTCCTACTCCATTATTCTGTGATAACCAAGCAGCTGTTCACATTATATCGAATCCTGTGTTTCATGAGAGGACCAAACATATTGAAATTGATTGTCACTTTATTTGGGAAAAAATATTAAGTAGGAACATCTCTACTCCATTTGTGAAGTCTGAAGATCAACTAGCTGATATGTTTACCAAAGCACTAGGTCATAATCGGTTAAGGACTATCTATTCCAAACTGGGATTATTTGATATATATTCTCCAGCTTGAGGGGGAATGTTAGAATGTTTATATCCTCCATAATGTTGGGTCATTATGTAATTACCCATAATAGTTAGGATTATTGTGTAATTAAGCAATATTGTGTAATTAGGGTATAACCCTTGTTCTTTATATAAGCCTCATTTTGGGCTAAAGGAAATATACAGAATACATATATTCTCTCTCTCTCTCTCTCTTTCTCTCTCTCGTGAATCTGAACAAATACCAAACACACCAGCAGCCCAAACAAGTCACAAATAGCACCGAGAGACCCTTAACACATTCTAGACGCTAATGGAATGTCCCAAAATAGGGGTCCAAACCTAGGAAGAGATCCTCCCTACATATCGCACACACCAGGCGACTGCCCTAGGATTTTTCTGTACCTAGGCAATCACATCAATAGAGAGGAGAGAAATTAGGCTCTAATATCATGTTATAAATAATAAAATACAAGTGAAGAGATAAATGAAACAAGAAGAAAACAAATATATTACGCGGTTCAGCCACTAGGGCCTACATCCACGGCACACAGAGCTCAAAGGGCTACATCACTTTTATAATATTATCTCTTAGTTTTTGCATACAATGATCGCCTCTATTTAAAGGTGAAAGAATACAACATGTGATAAATATGATATAAGAAAGATTTCTAAAATCAATCCTGTGATTCACCCATATCAATATTCTATCAAGGAGTGATTTAAGGGCTTTAATCACTCCTATAATGATATTCTCCAACATAACATCTTCCAAGAACTAGAAAATAAACTAAAATAAAGGTTTCATCAAAAAAAAATTCTATGCATATCTTTGCATTTTTTTATATTGTGAATATCATTTGTCTACTAGGAGTTTTCACGTTGGAGTTTATGTTTCCTGTTAGCTATGGTTCTATATGGGTGACTGGCTCTGCTAAATACAACTAAAACAAAAGTATCATAAAAAAATATAAATAAATAAATAAAAAAGAATTCTTGAATAATGATTTCTTGTAGGTGAGATGCCTAGGTGGCCTTTACTTGTCAAAAAAAAAAGATGGTTAGGTGGCCTCTAAAGATTTTAAGGTTTCACTTCTTTCTCTGGTTCTTCTCTCTTTTTTCTTATTTATTTTCAAATCGCTGTTGTGCGTAAGTAACCCATAACCAGCCCTTCAATCAGTTTACTTTTATCCCAATACGCTATGAATTCTAAAACTACAACCCTAGACTAAGCCCACCTTTATGAACCTGTTATTAATATGGTATCAAAGCAAGCAAAGTCCCAATTTCAAGCCTCACTGTCACCTTGATATTTAAAAATTGAAACACAAGAAGGCCGCACGAGAAGGAGCGTGTTGAGGAATTAAATATTAAGTTACAGCCTCGCTAACAGCTTACTCTTTTAGAGTAGATGATGGTTAAAATACCTTAACTTACAAATCAATAGTACAATGCCAATAGATCTTAGCAGAACATCTGACAATCCTTAATAGCCTAATTTATGAAAATGTAATTTCAAGCAGAAGTTAGAGACAGAATCTTGAAAGCAAGAGCTAAGAGAAGGAACTCACAAGGCTACCAAATCCAATATAGATAGGCTTTTCACCAACTTCGAGCCATTTCACAAGTGAATCAGGAGGCTTATAATTTGAGGCAAGGTCTAGGAAGCAAAACCCAACTACATCAATTTTAGGTCCCCAATCTGCAGATATTGAAAAGGCTGCACATGTTAAAATGGTGCCATTACATAAGGAGGAGCTTTTGCTGCAGCTGCTCCTGCTGGTTTACGAGATTTTAAAACAGAGCCAGAAAGAATTAATGCATGGGTCAGAGTGTTTCAAGCAGAATACAAATAAATAAATAATTAAGTTAAAATAAAGTCAAAAGTCTATCCAATTTGTGGATCAAAAATAGCAACAACACTGAAAATACCAAAAATAAATAAATAAATAATAAAGTTATGATGGAAAATCTCTTTCCAAGCAAGAAAAGATTTAACTAAAAACTACGTAATCCGCCAAAATGAATGTCACAGAATATCACACAATTGTTACGAGTCACGATGTGTTTTTCAACATCCAAAATGAAGCGCTGGCCATAACAAACATATCTGGTTGTTTGCTTTGCCAACTAAGACATGAACGAAGTACCTTTACTACACCTAGGAACTAAATGAATTAAATGAGAAAAGAGTTTAAATCATAAAGGAACTGACTAAAGATGTTAATGATGGTTCAGATTACCATAATGGGAAACTAGGAGGGTTAACATGTTGGAAGATTCCTCTATTAACATGATTTCTTCTAACTTGCAAAAGGTTTTTAAAGCATGGATCCATTTCACATTTAATTTACTCTCTTAACCTTTTCTTTTAACTGCCCCAATCCACCACCTAAATTCACAGTTTCAAACATGTTCTGAATACATAGATTGACATAACAAGGGTGGATCTGCCATCAGTTCTTAGGATCCTTGGTGGCAAAAGTGCTGATTGCAGGAAAGATTCATGTTTCCTCATTGCTTCTAGTTTGTTGCAGGACACGGTGGTCTAACCTCAACCAATTTTACCTTCCAAGAGAGTCAGTGGGTCAAGCTGGAGACAACATTAAAATTTTAAAAATACATCCTCTGAGTGGTATGTGAATCAAGCTGGATGCCTACTGAACACAGCGGCAAGACGAAGACCGCTGAGCCACTTCCAACTGTTTGTCCTCCAAATGTTTGTTTCTTAAAATTAATTCAATAAAACCATATGTTAACATAACAATCATGACGTGTGAATCAAGCTGCATACCTACTGACACAGTGGCAAGATGAAGACCACTGAACCACTTCAAGTTGTTTGTCCACCAAATGTTCATTTCTTAATATTAATTCGGTAAAACATTATGTAAACATAATGGTTATATTTATATATTCAGGGTGACAACACCATAACCTAAGAAGCACAGACACTTCTACGAAGGTGTCGTGTCTGTGTGGAATTACGTGTTGGGCTTCGACACGTCATGGACAATCTTGAACACGTGGCTGACACTTCATGGCCATGTCCGTAATTAAAAAATAAATTTAATTATTTCAGGCAATTGACCGACACATCTTAAATGTCAGACACTCAAACATCCCACACTCTCAAACACACGACAATCCTATAAACAACATTATCAACATACATCTAACTGTCCAACCTGTTTTTCTTAAGCACATGTTAATGTGTAATGAAGAAAAACATAACTATAATGACAAGATTGGAGAATAATGTCATATATAATATAATACATATTTTTATATATTCAAATGGCTTCCTCTTCTAACTTATGTAACTTTAGTACAAAAATTATAAATTAATTAAAGTTCTACATATAAATAAAATTTATATTTATATTATCCGTGTCACGTCATGTCCATGTCCTACTTTTTTAGATATTAGAATTTGACATGTTGGCGTATAAGTGTCATATTATGTCCGTGTTCATGTCCATACTTCTTAGACAGGAACCCAGAATCCTAAGAACAAAAATTAGTATGCTATCTACCAATTGAATTGAAATTTGTACAGAATTGAGAGTGGGGCCGAAACTTGTAATCTCTGATTTTACACATAGTGAAGACTTCCGCCGGATCTCTACTGTAGACGTAGGTTTTGCCGAACCACATATAAATATTTGTGTTCTTTCTGTGGTGTGTTTATTTTCCTGTCGTGTTTCGTAATTGTTGTTTGGTTCGCTGCGTTTGTCATAACAAGATATTACCCAGTTCTGGTTATGCTATAATCCCAATAGGGCAGTCAACATCCACTATACAAAAGAACATAAAACTTATATCCACCTCACAATATTCCACGTAGACATCTAAAGGATTGACAGGTGACATGTGGCCCAATAACCAAAGCATAAGCCACTATCCTTAGACAATGACAATAAACATTTGGATTTTCCTATATCCACCCTTGTATATCTTGTCCTAAGGAGGGACGACTCGACAGGCCAAACATATGGTAATTAACAAAGTGGTACTCCGAAGCTCGAACTTGCAGCAACAGCAATGATGCTCAAGTGCTAAACCACTGAACCCGGCAACGGCTCTCTTCTCTTCTCTTTCATCATATCCATTTTTCTACTTTATAATTGATGGGATCTGGCCATACCCCCTTTTCTCTTCTACCCCACCCTCTCCCTTTTCTTTCTTCTCCTCTTCCCTTTTTCTAACCAAATAATGATAAAAAAAATAAAAATAAAAAAACTAAAATTCATAATGTCTGGTTCTAGCATTTGGGTTCTCTACTTGTTCTGTAATATGTCACTTTTCCCTCCATAGCACTAGTTACATCAATTTAGTTGTTTATTTTCTCTGTTTGTTAGAGCTTAGATAATAATCTCAAACTAAATTTAAATAGAAAGAAAAAGAATAAGAATAAAGAAGATGGTGAAAGGTATGAGACTGATATAGTTAACAAAATAAGGGAGAACCGCCAAGAAGCTACTTTTTCTAGAAAACCTGCATCCTCCAGCCACATCTTTTCAAACTAACCAACTATTTTGAAAACTAACAGAAGAAAAGCATTGCTAACAACCAACTGTTCTTAAAGCTTAAACTACTAGGGAATGGACCCAACAATTAATACCAAGCTCTCACACACTCCCTCATGTGTGACGATGCTCACACACAGAAGGTAAATTGCTCACAGCATATAGAAAGACAGAAAAGTAGCATGCAACCTTCACAAACAAAATCAGAGAATAAATGCAGATGAAGGCAAAGCTCTATGTTAACAACTAACTGCTCTAAAATCTTATTTTGTTAAAAAGACTAATACAAGAGAGAGAGAGAGAGAGAGAGAGAGAGAGAGAGAGTCTAACAACGTATGTTAAGGTCACAAAAGTATAAAAAGGCCATTATCAATTACTACTCCCTGCCTATGCAGGGTGCAAGGTAGGAAATACTAAAGGCATACCAAACAATGTAAACAAATAGCACAATAATGTCTATAGAGAGGAAAACAAACAAATTCATAGTTTAAGCTTACTATGACAGTAAGTTAACATTTAGCTATATAATGTACATAGAGAAATAACCTTTTGGCTTAGGAACAAGATGAGGACTCCAAATATATCCATACGGCACATCTGGAGGAGAACTATAATGACCACTTAAATATGTCACAGGCCTCAACCTTAGTTTTTTCTTCCTAAATTCATTTATCATGTCTCGTATTCCAAGCCAGATTAATGTGTCAACAATTTGATATGATAGCTGCAAAAAAACATTCAACTTAATCTTAGAAATCGATATGCTAATAGAAACATTGATTCCATACAAACTGGAAAAAGAAAAGATTACGGAAAATGGTATTAAAATAGGCCCACCCTATATGCAACTTGCTGTTTAACACGAGAAAGAGGATGTGGGAATTCACTAGTAGGCCTGAGGAGAGAGAGGAAAAAAAACCAAATGTTAGATTGCATGGCATGTTGGAAATTTCAATTGGAAAGTACACGGACTATAAAATTAACATTTGTAAAACTATGATTATCCTGCCAAAAGAAAAAGACTTACGTCCATGGCATTGTAAAAAATATATGGAGTGGCACTTTGAGTGCCTCTGCAACATGAGTATGCCCTGAACAATTATATTTCCATGTGAGTAGTCAGTTGAATGACCTTAACCATTGCTTAAAAAGAGAAATAATCCAAGAAACCATATATTTTAGGAAAAATGAAAAAATATACAGAAATAACAGCTTATCCTTGTACTCTATCTTTGAAAAAAAAAAATTGTGAGCTTATAGAATTAGCACAAAAATCCTTAATGCATCAAATAGTGTGTCAAGAACACATTTGCATATTGAGGATAAAACTTGAGGGCAAAGCAAATTACTTTGACGTCCCAATATAAAATATGCAAGTTCTAATGCGGACACGGTATTTCCTGAAGAAATGTTTTTCCATGTTCAAATCAAATGACTTATGTTGAAGGATTTGAGTATTAAAGTTATACCTTCTTTTTTTTTTTTTTCCTAGTTGGTACTCACACACACTTGTCTCTTCTGAGACTTGAACCCCTGACCTCTCTTTGGAAAGTAAGAGGCTGATACCGCTAGGCCACTGGCCCGTTGGTAAGTTATATCCTTTTTTAAAAGCTTAAGATTTTAGAATAAATGGTTGTTAACATGGTATCAGAGCCAAAGGTCTCGAGTTCAAACCTCACCATCACCCTGAAAAATAAAATTGAAAAACACGTGTTGGACCAAAAGAAGGTCACACGTGAGGGGGCGTGTTGAAGGATTTAAGTATTAAAGTAACGCCCTCTCTAAAAGATTAAGCTTTTAGAGTAAATGGTGGTAAACAACTTCCAACTATGCATTTATAAAGATAATCTTTTGGAGTGCAAGTAAAAGAAAGGTAAAAAAAGGAGAATTGGTAACAAGAAAACATCAGTATATCATGCCTAGAAACCTTGAGGATAAATCAAAATGTCCCAAGGAAATTGGAAACTGTACATTTAATCAAATGCTGAGTTAAATTAAGGGCTTGGGCATTTTTTTTTTTTAATTTAACAAGTAAACATAAACATGACCTCAAGATAAAGTTCAGCTGACAGTCAACCATCTAATAATCAACATAGAGAATTAATGATGCAATCACATAGCTACTATTTCTATGAGAACTTCCAAAATTATATCTATATCATCTTCAATTAATTGGATGAGACAATCATTTTTCTTTGTCTATGTGTGTGTGTGTGTGTGTGATTAATAAAATGATATTACTTCTTATCAACCAAAGAGGCAGTTTTGCAACCAGCGTGGCATTCTTTTAGTTGTCAGTGCACATGGAGTCTTCTTCTATGGAGGTTTTTAAGGTTTCTTTGTTGCTGTTAAAGGTGTGTGGACCCTTCTTTTGCTGTTACAAAGACTTGCAAAGCTCCTTTATGAGTTTTAAGAGCTACAATTTAGCAGAAGAATCCCTTCTACTAAAACATCATGGTGAGAAGCATCAATTTCAAAAGACTGGGTGATAAGAGATTTCATTGACTAATCAGTGACATTTTTGAAACCATTCAATGCAAGAGTTCCTTGTTTGAGATTAAAAATATTAAGTTCAAACTCTAGATCGATAATTTATTAAATAATTTCCAACTGCAAGTAGTATAAATTATGATAGGTGAGTAACACAATTTTCTAATCTTTCAATAAGCTTAATAACACCCAGTTTGATCATAGATTTCATATTTAGACATGACATTCGAGCACTTAATTAAAATGTTCAACTATTAGTATCCAATTATTCTGCAGCATAATCGCGGAAATTTAAAATAAACCAGATAACCAGAATACAAGAAAATCAATATGATTCTCAACTCTAATGAAAAGTTATAAAGTAATAAATATATCATAAGTCCTGTTCATTTAGTAATATGTCCAGTGCTATTTCCATAATCATTCCAACTAAAATTCTTAAGATCCCACACTCCCATGTTTATCTTGAACACTCAACAAGTTTATCCTGCATTGTTTCCAACTTGTTTTTATTATTTAAAGTTAGCTAAGAAAACAAGCAAAAATCATGTTATGTTAGAAAGGTTAATGGTCAAATACTAAGTGAGCATTGCAGCCTGCAAATCAAGTAAAACGATCCATATAAAATGACAAATAAAAAGTAAATAAATTTTTTTTTACCTAGTTGGAAAACAACACCCCCCCCCCCCCCCCCCCTCTTCTTCTTTTCTCAAGGAATTGTTTGCACCCAAGAGGATTCGAAACAAGTAAATAATTCTTACCATATGCCGGGGGATTGGCAATTATTGCTTCTACTTTAAATGGAATTTTAGTGTCTGGATCAGGATCCGTGCATGCAGGAAGTAAAGAGAATATAATATCCCTCATTTGATTTCGTTGAATTGATATCTCCGAAGGTCCTGATGGCAAGAAGCCTTTATTCTTCACCATGTCTGCACAAAGCATACTACTAATTAATATAATTATTAAAAAAATATCAGGTATCATAAAGCTTTAGCTATTATGAAAAACTAGAATCCATAGAGAAGTGCAATTGGAAACTAAAGAATTTACAATCGATATGCTCTTGAAGAATGAGGATAGTAACCCAAGCTATGTTGCACAAGGTCCGAACTAGACATAAAGGGAGGGGTGAACAAACTTTAACAGAAATTCAATTCAAAATTTAAACCACCCTTTATTAGATTTGAAATTTCAAACTATATATTAAACAAAGCCTGTAAAAAGTAACATGATACAGATATAAAGCACAGAAACATAAAAGAAAAACATCCACATATAAACACACGATCTTTGTGTGGGAAATTCCATCTGATAAAAACCACAGGATGTAGTTCCATTCAGGCAGATCGAATTCACTATCAGAAGAAAGGTAATACAGCACAAGGTTAACCAGACTCTAGCTCAAAATCCGCTTAGTTACCTCTGACCTATACTCGTGCCAAATGATCTACTCCAATCTCTACTGTTGCCAGCCAACGAATTCGCTCCTCGTGCAATCCGCTCTTTATTTGATTTTCAATAATTAGTCACACCTACTGTTTGTTTGTTGTGTGGGATTGGTTGTGGTGCAGAAATCCTTTTAATTCTAAGATTGATATGCTAGAGCCTAGAATACTCATGAACTTTCACCATCTATGTAAATGATAAACAAAACAAAGATGATAGCATGCACTCTAAAATTGCTTCACAAGAATATATGAAAATAGTCCAGTGAGTTGGTTTCGATTGATTGAACTCCCCTATCCAAGTTCAATTAGGATTTGAGTTTCCGAAACAGGTTTATGCAATTCAAAACACAACTTTGAAGAACAAAATATGTAATTTATATACCCTAACATATCACGTTAATAAATACGATTAAATCCTATTTTGGTAAGTGCACGATTTTAGTTGAATTATCTTCTAGCCCTTATAATATTGAAGTTTTGAATTCTCCGATTTACCCTTTGAAATAGGTAACTCAACTACCTAACTTAAATAACTTCTAAAATCATATACAAAACTAAAATTCAATATTACAAATTCCATTTTGTATAAAACTTGCCAACCAAAGTCCTCTTGACCTAACAAAACTTACATTTGTATCTAACAGAATCAACTTTGAAATTGCTCATTTGCTCCAAAGACAAGAAATACCAAAACTATAATCTCTAAATGGATGCAATAGGAAGAGCACGCATTTTCATTTAAGAAGACTATCAAGTAAGTATAAAGAACACACCCCCATCAAATAATAATAATAATAATGGTATGTGCTCCAGAAGAATTCCTCCGAGAGGTAAAAGGGAGCTCCTACACCACGATACTTTAAGCATGCTCGGCTGGAACTCTATCCAAATACACCCGTGGGCTCGTGCTCATCAGTTGCTTACTCTAAACCACATTGCCTGATACAGGATGCTCGGAGATGTTCACTCAATGAGCAGAGCAGGGAGCTAGTCAAGGTGGTACCAAGTACCAACCCCTCAGATATGCCATATAACTTTTGCCTTTTGTAGAGAGCTGAATTATCATTATAACACGTGGCCAATTGCAGCATTATTTTCATGACGAAACAATGAATTGCCTCAATGAACTACTTACCCAAGCCTGCAGGTTGGCAGGCCAAACTGCCTTGCGATTGGTTCTGGGCCTGAAACCTAACTGGTTTCCACATTTTTTGCAGCTCTATTTAAAATCAAGCAGCCCATTTTAATGGACTGAATTTATAAGTTCCTGAAACCTAATTGGTTTCCACATTTTTTGCAGCTCTATTTAAAATCAAGCAGCCATTTTAATGGACTGATCTTTTAAGTTTCAGAGCCTCTGGACTCGAACTGACATCAATGAACCTCCCAATACCAATCCCTCAGTTGTCCTCCCTCTCTGTCTCTCTCTCAACCCAATTTTGTTTGCCATGCTATTATCTGACACAACTCCCCCAAGCACTCAACAGAGTATCAAGCAAGTCTTTAAAACCAAAAGCTGCAATACACACTGCTTACTAACTCATTAGTGTGTTCTTCACTTTATATAACGCAGTTTTTTTTTTTCCTAGTTGGTACTCACACACACATGCGCCTCCACTGAGGCTTGAACCCCTGACCTCCCTTTGGGAAATAGGGGCCTGGTACCGCTAGGCCACAAGCCTGTTGGTTATATATAACGCAGTTGCCAATTTACATACATATATATTATATATTTTTTGAGAGAGAGACAGCAATAGAATAGCACTATGGCAGAAACATTGAAAACTTTAACCTCCTGTAAATACTTATGAGATTAACAATGATTTATTATAGTTTGGCTTCTATAATACTACGATACTGAATATCCCATCACAATCCAATAGAAATTCTCAGCAATTCAAAGTGTAATTATGTTATTTGTGTTCTTACATTGAAAAAACATACTATAGAGAACCTGATGTTTGTGGTGAACATATAGCCCAATTTCTGAGATTTCTTATCTGGATGGGAATCAAGAAAATTCGAATGCACATGTCAATACATGATGTCACAACATGAAATGTCTCAATGTAGCAAAGCCTCTAATGTCAAAATATACTTTGTTACTTTTTGTATAACATCAAACAAAGAAGTGTACAACTTTAAATGACAAGATTAAAGCAAATACATAAGAAAATATATAAGTGGATAGCTATTATCAAAGCACTCACTGGAGAAAAATAATAGAACTATGGTGAAACCTTCTACCTTCATGCTTCACTATACCTTTTACACATTAAACAAAAATATGCATTAACTGTTACAACAGACAAGTTAGTGGGACCCACCTGTGGTGTAGTTATACTGTGGGACCCACACAAGGAAATACACATAGGTCTAACTTCTCGTGCATAGGTAAGAAAATGCAGCAAGTTCAAACTGAATGTTGTAGCATTCCTATTAAATCATGAATTTTATGTTCAAAGCTTAAACCCTTGAGACTTGAGAGGCTAGAGATTATGAATTCAAAGAGCTTTCATAAAGCATCATTAATGGAGCCTTAAAATCTAAAAGCTATACCTTTCTAATGGCTAAAACGAATAAAAGTTTGACATCACTAATTAACAAGATAAAGAGGTCTCGTCCCTTTTAGGAGTAAACGAAAAAGAGAGGTTCAACTGTTCCTAAATAATAAATTTTAGAATAGCCAGAAGAAAAGTCCTCAATGTGAAGACAGAAAGGATAACATGAAAAGGGATGAAAATTAGACTTCCAAGGGCCACTTACAGCCAGCAAGAACTTTTGGATCTCCACCAAGGGGGAAAAACTCCAACCCAGCAGCCAAGACAAACTCTTTAAAATTTGAGTGAGTTGCTAGTCTCACCCTATGACCTTGTTCCTGCAAAAGTATTGAATTGGTATCAATTCATATTGCATACGCTGTATAGAATTAAATTACACAACAGTGACAATCATATAGTTAATCTCCATATTATAACTCAATATATCTCCTCCTTGAAGATTCAATGGATGCACGCAACAATTTCAAAAAGCCAGGATCACTGACAATTTACAGATGCACTATATTTCCAACTCAAACTTGAAAGTGGAGTGCCATTACAAAGCATCCAACACTGATTATGCCACTTAAAATTTTATAAATCAGTGGTAAATATACATTAAAATTCGGATGAGTTTTGAATTTGCTTCACAAAAGACACAAGACCAGTAGGATATAAAATAACAGCAGCTCCCACAATAAGCAAAACTGAACAGGGGAATGGGAGTTTGTGACTGCCAGTCAGTAAAGCATAAACTTCAAGAATTAGCTTATTTTTAATCCCGTGCAGCAAGTGTCAGCTCCAACAAGAAATCATAGAAGTGAAAACAAAAAGAAGGTCTGATCCAGGGAATTATAATTTGAGATAACACTCAAGTGTGTCTGATATATCTTCATAGTTATGATACAAACTAAATATCAGCCAACTCCTATATCTGACTCAAACTGGTAATCCATCCTGGTAACTAAAAAATAGACTACAAGTCATGTTTCTCTTTCTGTCTATAAAAACAAAGAAAGTTGTCCCATTTATGAAATCAAATATGGTGACTTATTCAAATAATAATAATGAACTCAAATATGGTACGGTGCAACTTAGCACTATCATGCTTAAAGTTTCATAGTTCAAACCAAAGTATGGCAATCTTGTTTCCATTTATATATATATATATATTCTTTCTTTTTTTCTGCCACCAGAAACTTCAAGTTAAATAATCATAGAAACCACTAGAGTTATTACTAAATTTAATTAATAAAAATTAAATTTCTCTAATTGTAATTATTCTAAACTTTTTAAACTTCAACCTATGTTGTATGGACTCATATACATGTATGGGGTGCGGAAATGTATCTAAGTGTTTGCATTTATCATATACTTAAAACCAAGGACACATGGATATTGCAAAATACACATTTTTTAAATGTTTTATTTATTTTTTCTGAAGTAAAATCTTGTTTTATTTAACATAGAATGTTCAACATGCCATTTCACTCGTTTTAAAGCAATAATGTTACAAAAGAAACCAAAAAAATAAAACAGCTCTATGCACAATGAAATAGACAGTTGTTAACTGTGTATTTGACACACATATTCACCCTACAACCCATCTATAACTACTGGCAAATGTACCGATTACCAGATTGCCAATCTAACACCAGTGTAGGTTAGTGACATCCTTAACTTTAAGTTTTTTGCAATTCATTTCTGATTCTTTTCGAGATTTCCACAGGTTTGCAACAAAATATATGAGACTAAATGTGGAGTGTCAATATTGGTACGCTAAAAGATTATAGGAAATATACTAAACAAGAAAAGAAAAAAAAGAATAACACAAAAAGAAAAATAGGAACTTTTTGTTAACATGAAAAATGAGTTTATTTGAAAAAAGGGGAGAAATCTAGACAACTAGAAAATTAAAAACTACTTATTCACTCAAAAGAAATCTAAAACAGCCTGGGTTGCAGCCAGCCTACCAATACCAATGAATAAGCCCTCAATTACATTAACATGGATTTTCATAAAGAGTCTTCCCAAAGGCCAACAAGGAGAGCAAGAATATCTATTTTAATAATGTATCTAACAGAAGTCCTTTCGTCTCGTCTGTGACTGTGAGATTCTCTTCCAACAGCTTTAAGAAATGACAGGTAAATTTACCAAAGGTAATCACTAAATATGCCTTCAGTTCCTAGCAGGCCTGAGTTTCCAGCCGCACAACAATCAAAATTATATTTGAATTCACCATCCAAGGAAGCCCAACAATTCTTGCCCTCTTTTTTTTTTTTTTTTTTTTCATAAGTAACAATTATTGCCCTTTAATCTAGAAGATAACCCAAATTGAGGAAAGAGTTTAAGGAGAGACCAAAACAGCACTCTAACCTCAAGACCTAACCAGGAAACAACCATTCATGGAGAACTTTTAGCTACATCTCAAAGGAGAGAAAAAAATGGGACATATAAAGTATAGAAATAATGACCTAAGAAGCAACAAGAAAGGGCCATGAGAACAAATAGCATTTATCATTATGCATAGGAGAAGGCACAAAGAATAATATAAAGTATAGAAATAATGACCTAAGAAGCAACAAGAAAGGGCCATGAGAACAAATAGCATTTATCATTATGCATAGGAGAAGGCACAAAGAATAAACGGATGGGTCAATGTCACATTGCAACTCTGAGATGAAACAAACAAATCCAGAGTAAAATTTTAAGGGGACTCTACATTCTTAATCAAAATAGGCAAAGGGGAACACAGTCACTAATTTTAGGAGGGGAGGGGAGCACAAGATGATTTTGGCTTATAAATGAAACAACTTTCAACATTTCGATAGTGTCGTTGCGGACATACATGATTAAGGAGTGGAAGAGGAGGAGGAGCTCTTCAGTTTCATGCTCATTTGGATCCTATTTGTTTTTTTTTAAAAAAAAAGGGAGATTCATCTCAAACAATAAGTTAGAATAAACTGTGATTCTGAAATAGGAACCCCACAAGCATAGAAAGGTCTAAAAGATGAGGGAACAGTTTCTTAAAAGTATAATTTTTCAATGATGTATCATCACCCATTTCCAACAATGTATCAAAAATTTGGAAGTCACCGGGATAGACATGTCAATGGATCGGATTTTGATCCAAATCCGATCCAATTAGTTGGATATGGATTGAGTAATAAATCCGATAACCCGATAATGATCAGAACCCAATTACCCGACAACTTAACAGATCAGATTTGGATTATGGTCGATCCGATCCGTTAATGATCCAATCCGATTAAAATAATATATTATTATATTTATATTTTATATATTCTATTAAATATCAACCATCAGATTGTTTAGCTTTAATTTTTTTTTAAAACTAATCACAGGGTAGATATACAAAACTATGGTGCTCTCACCTACATAATAATAAACCTCTTAATATATAATAACCTAAACACCAGATTGAAGTTCCAGCTAAATCGAGAATACTATGGGAGTACTGTCAGAAACGATGGTGAGGGAGCTCGTCGAGTCGTCAGTCAATAGCCGGAACCATTGTGCAGGTGAATATTTTGGTTACTTATTCTCTCTTTTCCCTTCTTTTCTTCTTCTCCGTTAGGAGCCCTAACTTTTCTTCTTCCACAACAATGTAATTTTAGATTTTCCCCTCTTTCTTTGCCTCCCCCACTCTCTCTTCTCTCTTTATGATTTTAGTTTTTTGAAAAAGATTACAGAATCCAGAATTTAGCTCACAATCCTCTTTCTTTGATCATAAACTCTTATGGTGAGCCTATTTGCAGTAAACCCTACATACAATGCTGAGATCTGGAATTTGAGATCTTGTGTATATTTTATCGGATCGGACATCCGATAGAGTTTGTATCGGATATGGATTCATTAACTAAAAATCCGTCGGATTATCGGATCAGATCGGATCATGTATTATGCTTATCGGATTCGGATTGGATCAACCTTGATCCGGTCCGAATTCAACCCGTTGACAGGTCTACCCCAGGATATGATTCAAAAAAATCTCTGCTCTAACTTCATATATGAAAACCAGTAGTACAATGTTCAAATTTCAAAGAAAACTATCAAAAAACAAAAACAAAGAAGGAACAAACAGATAGTCCTTTTAAAACCAGTGGTAAATGTTCAATATATATATATATATATATATGGACTCCTCCACCAAAGATGCTGCCTTAAAATGTGGAGACATGCAACCAGCTAGGACATGAGCTGCAAGCTACAGTTAAGAGTAAAGTGCAGCATTCTTATACCCCACCCCAAATAAATGAATAAATAAGTGCAGCATTCTAAAAGGAAATTCCAAGAAATCTAACAGATAAAATAAGAACATTGCTACACTTGTTGGGGAAAAAAAAATTGTTTAACCTGTAAAAGTTTTCCAATTGCAACAAATGGTTGTACATCTCCTCGTGTTCCAACAATAAGCATAACAATTTGCAGTGGAGGTAGATCTTGCATGCGTTCAACATCAACAGCTGCATCAGTAGCTCCATTATAAATGACTCCCGTTCCAAAATCAAGATTTTGAGGTTTAATATCTCCTGGAACTTCAAATTGTACAGTTCCGTCATCTTGAACAGTAGCAAGTCGGTTCACCCATTTGAGCTGTGGAATTATAATGGTTTATCAAATCCCATAAACTTAAGTTTAAAGCAAAATGGCTGCTACTGAGGATTAACCATTAAAAGACAATGCATCAACTCTTAAGCAGAAAAGCAGAGTAATTATTGACTATAAAAGGAATAATATTCTAAAAAAAATACATCGCTGAAAAAGAAAATTAATGTTTAGTGCACTGCCGCACATGAATGTTGGAAGATGTTACTTGTAACATTAAATATCAGTTATATAAACAGTGGATCTTCCAACCTTAGAGCATCCAGAGTGCAAACCAAAGTAGATATTATCATGCACTATGGAGAATGATATGCCTTGGTGTGGGCTTCTCCGTTTGGTGGGGCCCACACCATATTACACACTCCATTCTCCAATAGTGAAAAATGGGGTGTAGACTGACACCATTGACCAAGGGCCCAAAGTGGGCCCTTGTGTGTACTTTTGATTTTAAAAATAAAGTGATCATGAGTGAGGGGGGTGTGGGACAAATTTTAAAAATAATAAAATAAATAAGTGTAGTGTGTGAAAGAAGAGTGCACAACAAGAGAAAGGAATCTTCAAAAAATGTATAGAACCACATCAGCACAATTGTTGATGTGGCACTACACTTTTTGAAAGAGTAGAATGTGCACTGGGGATGCTCTTAGACTTTCTATAGTTGCTGCCATATTTAGCTCCTTTATTTTAGGGATTTGATTATTATGAGTGCTGTAAGTTAGGACCAGATTGTAGAGTTTTGCTTTAGACTCTCTTTTTTCCTTAAATAGGTTTTCCCTCTTTCCTATATATACTTGTACAGTATGTAAACATTTTCAGATGAAATACACACAGAATTTTTCTCTCAACAGAAAACATGTTATTAAGCAAGGTCCTTTGTCCAAACCTCACCGTCAAAATTTTAATTATCAGTGTGACGGTGAGGTTTGGACATCTTGCCTGCTAGGATACCATGTTAACCACTATCTCCTCTAAAACCTTAAGCTGGATGTAACTTTAATATTTTAATCCTTCAACAATGAAATCCATAAGCAAGAAAAAATAGAGCACCTTATAAACAGAAAACCAGGGCATCGTGTATGTTTACGGACAAACGATGCTATATGTAAAATACAGCACATCAGGAAGTGGAAAATATGATGCGACTATGTGAAGCTACCTCTTCAATAGAATGGTTTGTATATACCATGGTTTGCAGACACAGATGTAGATGTGGTGTAATGGACGTGGGACTGTATCGAGCATAAGGTAACTCAATCGGATATTGCGGTTGTGAACCATTTTTTAAACTGGCACACAGGCTCAAAAGGCACCTACATGCAAGTTTTTATTACATAATCCAATAAATATGGGCTTTTATAAATTTTAACGATTTTTGTTGATTTCCTAAAGATGATTTTATCAGCACAAAAGTTAATGAATTTAACAGTAAAAGTTATTACGTTAGACATTTTACTAAATTAAGGAGCGATAATAGACTTTAACATGAAATACATGATGATTTATGACATAAAAAGTTAATACGTTATATCAGACATTTCTCTACCTTGGTTTTCAGTTTCCAAACCCTCACCCCTCTCTCTAATCAACTATGGTGCACCTAGGGTTTTCACAACCCCCTCCTCTCTCTCTCTCTGCCCCAAACATCTAGGCCAATCCTCACTCTTTAATTTCTACATGACTCCTCCTCCTCCTCCTCCTCCTCCCTCTCTCTCTCTCTCTCTCTCTAATCAACTTCTATGCAGCGTTATGAAAGGCCCAAGGCGCGCTAAAGCGCTAGAGGTCCTTTGGAGCCTAGGCGTAAGGCGAGGCATGTGCCTGAGTGAAGTAAGGCTCACAATGGAAAAAATTAAATTACTAATAATTCATATTCCATATAAAAGGCGCAAATGTTGTCAAAGGCACACCTGGGCACACAACAAGCGCAAGTGTTGCGCCTATACGAGCGTAGAGCCTAGGCGCGCCTTTGACAACATTTCTTCTATAAAACTCTCTCTGGGCCCCACTTTAGAACGGTGAATATGGTGCAAAAAAGCAGTTGACCCACTTTTTTTATGTTCACTGCCAACTCCCGTCTCAACCAGCCAACTCAGCTAAGTCAGGCCGATTTGGCTGATACTATGTAGACCCCACTCAAACTCACCAAAGGCCGAGTCCTTTGCAACTCAGTTGAGTTGGCATAGTCAGCGAACCATGGTATATACTAAATCCAGCAATTAAAAGAGAGTCTGAAACAAATTTGATCGTATAGAAAGTTCAAACTAACAAAAGTGACATGGTAAAAAATTCAATTTTTCAAACTCCCTCCCTCCAAAAATTCTTTTCCCTTTTTTCATTTTTGGTTGTCCCAAAATTCAAATGTCCCATTTGAAAAGTCAGTGTATAAAGATTGTATATTTTCAAAATATCCTTTAATTTTTTTAAAAAAAAATTAACCAATAAACAATATGAACTTTTAAATTACAAATGGGTAGACTTAAAAGCTCAAAAGAGGACAATGCATATCCCCTTAAAGAGTTGAACCACTGAATAGGGACTAGAATTTTGGGACAACATTTATGTCCAGGGTGGAGGGTGTTAAAGATCTTATGAATAATATTAGTAATCAGATGCATTCTCATTAGATGACGGTCAACGTAACGAATTTAAAGAAGTCCATACATTTCTTACCTTCAGAAATTGGCCAATTGGCAAAGCAATCTACCGCCATTGCTTCTATGTGAATAGCCCAGGTCACTGTACACTCACTTCAGATTTGTTGGGTGACCTCTTAAAAACAGATAATGCATAATTGTTTCTTTTCTGTTTCTTTTATTTTAGAAAAAACACCAACTTTGAAGGAGATCATGCATCCTACTAACAGTGTATAAGACAACTTTTTTTGGGGAAGTATAAAATATATAATTTAACTTCCAGTCATACAAGTGGCATATTCAGAATCAAAAATCAGCTGGATAAAGTAAATCCATTATGATCCCCTGTGAACCACAAATTGGACAAAAGAAAAACAAGAAACTAAATGAAATGAAAGCAAAAGTAAAAGTTGTAGTATTGTATTAGACCTTCTTTTTCAGAGGAATCTTTTCATCAAATATTTTTGCTGCCACTATTCCAAAAGTATTATTGCGTTTGCATCTCCTAGTTTTAATAGGCTCACTGGTGGTTGGCTTTGATTTATCTGCAGTTGATCTTTCCACAAGCATGATGTCCTGTCTGGGAACATTCCTGTCAACAGACCCTGAGTAAAAGAAGGTTTAGAAGTAGAATCACAAATAAATACCTAAAGAAACATACATTCTGATGTTAAGAAAAAAAAAGGAATAAATATCGACAAATGCAAAATTAAATGCATTCAATAGTGATAAATGTGAAAGAATGTCACAGGTAAATTTCAATACAACCAAAACATGACCAGATAAACTTTTAAAGTTTTATATACTCCTACAAAACAAACCGCCTGCATACTTTTCCTTTTTTCTTATAACGTAAAAGAATTTCACTAAAGAGTAAATAAACGACAACTCCGTATCCTTCAAGGCCGCCAATAGTTTTAATTCCTTCAAAATTGGAACTATGACTCCCGTAACACAAGACAAAACTTTACAACATGATAAAAAGTAAGAAAACAATGTTCCCTAAGAAATGTAAGTAAGTGTTACAATCCGACCCAACTATAAGCCAAAACAAATAGGACTCTTATGCTTTTTGTTCCCATTTGGGATTCTTATGCATCTCCTTACACATTCCATATTCACTAGCAACCCACATTTTGGTCATATTGAACATCTTATGTATATCTTTCCTCATTGCACCTTGTTTAGGTGATCCAAAATGTATATTTATTTTATGGTGCCCATTTTTCTATTTCTAAGGGATCTCTTCCTGAGAATCTCATCCACAACTTGCATAATGGCGACTTAGGAGGTCATTGAGACAGCCTAGAAGTCTAAAATGTTTCCCTTGTGAAATGGAAGATTTTTACCCTAATGTTGAGAATAGATGACCCTATTTTTCTATTTCTAAGGGATCTCTTCCCAAGAATATGATCCACAACTTGCATAATGGCAACTTAGGAGGTCTCTGAGACAGCCTAGAAGTCTAAAATATTTCCCTTGTGAAGCAAATATATTTTTACCCTAATGTTGAGAATAGATGATCTCCTTGGTAAGAAGAGGTAGTCAAAAAAATTGTCATTGTTGCAAAGGACACCCATGCAGCGCTGGTCTATGGATTCCTTAATTAATGATAATAGATCATCAAAGAATGTCAACAATGACTTGGTATTAGCCTATTAGGATTGCCTCATTGCCTAAGACCACTACAAAGATTACATTGATTATGTCTTTGCGGTCGTAGATAGGATTTATAAAATGGTAAACCTTCATTGCATCACTTATGACTAATTTGTTCTTCATGGAAATCATGGATTTGCAATGCATACCTGCATATAGGGCTCTAATTTTTTAGCCACTTTCAATAAACTTGATGGGAAAAGATCAGAACTACACTTAAATTTAATGAAATCTATTATCCCAAGATAACGGAGGTAGTCAACTGGAAGAAAGGTTCATATAGTGAGCTTATAAAAAAACTGTGTTTGTGCAGGAGAGAACGCTAGAGAAAATGAAATTAGAGGATATAAACTCAATTACACCAAAAAAAAAAAAAAAGAAAATAGACATGAAAAAAGAGTAGGGATAATTGATGATAAGAAATTTCGCTTGGTGGGCCGAAAATGCCCCTATTCAAAGATCAGCCCTTTGTCTATGTGTTTTCACATCGAGAATTATGTGCAGATGAAGTGATGTCAAATGAGCTTCTTACTTCCCAAACAGATCTTCCTACATCTATTTTTTTTTTTTTTTGATAAATAAGCATAGACCTTCCTACATCTATAAATTGATTAACTACCTTATATGTGTGTATGCATTTATGTAGCAACTCAAAACAAACTTGTAGGCTCAGGTTGAGATGAGTTATGTTAACCACAAGCAAATTAAAGAGCTTTCTTCTTTATTTGTTTCTTTCTAAGCAAACTAACAACATCAATTATTAATGTAGGCACGAGCATATCTGTATATATTCCTTTCCTTTGACTTAACCAATTAAATAATTATTCCACTCAATTAAAGGCTAGTCCAATTCACGAGGCTCCTACACTGCAGGGCTTGGAAAGGGTCAGATGTACACAGCCTTACACGACATGCAGAGAAGATGTTTCCTATTTCAAAACGCAACCTATAGGTCCAAATGGAGCAACCTTACCATTGCACCAAGGCCCGCCCTTAGTTAGTCCACTCCATTATATTCCTACATTACTATACTATTAGAACCTAAAGCTAGCTATCAATCTCGAATGGCTCCAATCCTCACAAACAAAGAATACCCATTGGAAAGGCACCATATCACATCTTTGTCCTCACATCCATCAAGTTCTGGTTCAAGCCTGCTCTAGCTTCTTTTTCTTAAGAAACATAAAGGCTAGCCCAGTACACAAGTCTCCCACCATTGCGGGGTTTGGGGAGGGTTAAATGTACCCAGCCTTACCTCCGCATGGAGAAATTGAGGTACCTAAAAAAGTAAAGTGTAGACTCCAATGAGTGATATATAGTCCATCAGAATTGATTCAGTTGAAACTTCTAAATATGATATAAGGATATTCAAAATTTCAAAGTAATAGCATACTGATTTTTATTTTATAAGAATAATATAGAAAGTGTTCAACACGAGAACGCATCCCGAAGCTACACAAAGGCCGAAGCCAAAGAAAGAGATCCTAAGGACTCAAGGAACCCAAAAAATCAACACTCTCCTCTATAGATATACAATTTCTCCCCATCCCCCAACTAAAAAAGGAACTAATAATATGAAATTTCAAAGCCCCAATGGAAGATTCCTCCCCGTCGAAAGATGTTCTATTCCGTTCCTTCCAAACGCACAACCAAACACAAAAGGGTACCACTGTCCAAAAATCACGAGCGTGGGCTCCCACAAAACAACCTCCCCAAGTGTCAATTAAACACATTGGGGCTTTGAAATTGAAAGAAAGTAAAGGAAAACTAATTTTCTAGCATGCATTTGGTTAGCATGAAAAGCTTCCAAGAAATTTGGGATGGTTTACCTAAATTTGTGAAAAGTTTATATAGCATGAAAGTTACAAGGAAATGTAATGGTTGTAATGTTGTGGCCCGAATTTGGTGCTGGGTCGTGCGACCCATTTTTGACCCAACGACCCATTGAATGAGCTTTGTATTGGCCTTTGACCCTTTTTAACTTGTGGGTCGTGGACCCTAATTAGTACTATCTTGTAACCCGATATATAAGAGCATTTAGGGTTTGGTGCCGGATCATGCGACCCATTTTTGACCCAACGACCCATTGAATGAGTTTTGTGTTGGCCTTTGACCCCTTTTAACTTGTGGGTCGTGGACCCTAATTAGTACTATCTTGTAACCCGATATATAAGAGCATTTAGGGTTTGGAGTGGGAAATTGAGAGACACTGAAAATCACACAAAAGAGAGTGAGAGTGAGAGCGAGAGCAAGAGCTAGGGTTTGGGGCTGAAACTTGTAATCTCCATTTTTTCGCACAGTGAAAACTTTTGCCGGATCTTCACCGTGGATGTAGGCTTTGCCGAATCACGCTAAATCTTTGTGTTCTTTGTGTGTGGAGTGCTTATTTTTTGTCATGTTTCTTGGGTTCGTTGCGTTTGTCGTAACAATAGTTTACCTAAATTGTCCTTATTTTTATTAAATAGAATAAAGGTCTAAATAATTTTGCATGGAATAAATATTGTGCCTTTAAAAAAAATAAAAGAAATATAAGAATCTAAATAAATAATTTTGTAGGACATTTAGAGAGAGATATAGACAACCATTATAAAAAGTTATGCATAAACACATTTTATCTTAAGAGAGATAAAAAAAAGAGGGTATAATTGTAAGTTCACGTAAGTTTTTCAAGAAAGCAAAACTTTCTTGTGTTTTTTGTAGAACAATTTTGTGGGAAAAAGAGGTGGTTATGGAAAGTTACTTTATCAAAAATATTTTCTTCTCCTGCTATCCAAACCCTTACAAAGTTAAAATACTTACATTTCTTTTCCTTACTTGCTATTTCCATCTAACCAAACTAATCGCTATGGTTGAAACATTCAAGATTTCAAGGTAAGTTCTTAATTCCTTTCTATCATGTTACAATGGAAAAATATGTGGTTAAAGTTCTAAAAAAGAGAATTATTATCCAGCACTTCAGCATAATCTCAAAACTGAAGAATACATCGCTCTTTGTTGTCTTTTAGTAGACTGACTATTCCTTGCAGCGCATTGAAAAAGAGCCTTATGGAAGGGATTTAGAAGTGATGGCTTAAAGGCATCTGAGATAATGGAACATGGAATCCTTTTAAAAGGAAGAAGTGTATAGGATGCAAGTTGTTACAACTTAAGAATAAAAGGCAAAGGTGATGATGTATGGCTCCGAAAGACGTTGAGAAACCTTTCGAAGAATGGCCAATATGATTTCCCTTTGTGTCTCATTGTCTTCAACCACCAACTGTTGAAGTCCTTCGCTATCCACCTTTTAATTGGATGTAACTAATACATTTTAACTATTACAAGGATCGTTTACAATCATCAGGTGCTGGCATAGGTCCAAGAATAAGATTTATCAGATCCCAAAACCAAAGGGCATTGGTAAAATAATCTTTTTATGCAATATGAGGTGCAAAATAGGCATTTCACTTGTTTTAGAACAACATCAGGAGGATATTAACACAATACGAAACCATGTCCGTGTATTAATAAAATTTAATTAAAATTAGACCATGTCCGTGTATCGTGTCCACGCAATTCTAAAGTAAGCACTAGCGACTTGTTTTAAAAAGTTGAAAACAATCTTTAAACAAAGCCAAGTTAATCATAAAATATATCAAGCTAGTAAGACTCTACACTACCCTTATTAATCATAACTTACTCTTAATATACTAAAACAGTTATGATCCTGACATCCCATGGTATTTGGAAGATTCCAATGTGTCTTACATTGCATTAGAAGCTAATAAAGTAATCATCAAATTTGTCCTAATAAAACACAAGAGACACATTAGTCATTACCACAACTGATATGCAGGGGACAAATTCCAAGTCTACATAATACAAAATCGGCTCTCAAACTCTTAAATTTATTCGCAACCCTTATGTGTTTCAGAGTATTACCCACAGAAGCTATAACTAAACAAACAATCATGCTTTTGCATTTGTAAGAATCTCAAATCCAATACATTGATTACCACTATTCAAAACACAACAGAACAATAAAATCACAGAGCTAGATAAAACAAAATAGAAAAGAGATGAAAATGGAAAAATAAAAATAAAAATCCCAACCTGAAGAACTCGGGCCAGCCAGCGAACATTGAACAGCCTCTGTGCTCGTTGATTCGCTGCCATTGCCATTGCCATTGCCATTGCCATTGCCATCCTCCCTCGTGATTTCCACCGGCACCTCGCCGGAACTACCCGGAGAACTCCGGCGACAGTGATTCTCAGATGATTCCACCACCATTGCTGTTAATGCTATTTATTATATATAATACATACACACACATTTATACATATACATATATAGAAGGAGAGGAAAGGAGAGGAGAGACAAAACAGAGATGTGGATCGCTTTTATGGAAATTAATAATTAGGAATTTAGAAGCCCTAATAAAGAGTCGAAGTAAAAGGGAGAGACTTTAATGGTGTTTTGCGAACGTGTTCTTTTCACATGGACGACAGCTATTAGGGTTTTCAGGGGTGGTCGGAAAGATAATCATATACAGGTGTGTGTGTATCGTATACAGGTGTGTGTGTATCGTATATATGATTAAGGTTTGGTGCTTTGGTTCCTTTTCTTCGTTCTGATCCTAGAGAGAAAAAGGACGCAAGAAAGAGGAAACCGTTACAAGACACGTCTTGAAAGCAAATTTAAATCGCAGGGCCACTTGAGATACGCGAGAAGCCCGTTTTTTTGTATGGGTCGGCTTCTAGGTCCGATTTGAACGTGCTTTCTAGAAGAAGAAAAAAAGTTAAATTAGTAAAAGTGATATTATATCACAAAATTATAATATATATATATATTTTTTTCGTTAGAACAACCTATACACACTCACCATTCAAGTTAGGAGTGCAGGTGTAGCCACAAAAGGACAAGTGGGAGCAACTACCCAGTCTACCCCCACTGAACTTTTAATTTTTTTAAATTTGACGTGGAAAGATTTTTATAATTGTATAATTGCCACCTCAAAAATTTGACCGTGCACATATATATATTGTATATAACTAAAAACCCATTCACGGTTTTACAAATATATATATATATATATATATATATATTAATGACACAATTATAAAAATATGTAATATATTTATCAATTTATCACTTTCTCATAAAATATGATATTTTTTTCACTTTCTCAAAACATTATATTTTTTCCAACTGTCAAAAAAAAATAATAATAAATAAATATTTTATCAAGATATTCTATCGCACTTTTTAACTTTAGAACAAACAAATGGATTGTTTCCATCACATCTTCAGTCTTCAACATTTTTCACAATATCCATTTACCAGTAGACTGAGACTCAGTCTTACTTCAATGCGGCAGGTAATCTAATATTTTTTTTATCATCTAAACTTATGATTATTATTTGATATTATAATTTTAATTAGAAAATTTATCAATTATTACTATCAAATTTATTTTAGTCCGGGTTATTCTTTCAAAATTTAGTTTGTGTAATTGTGTTACAAATTATTATTCTCTAAATAAGATTTAGATTTTTTTTTTTTTACTTGAAGCCCAAATCAATGAAATCACTGATTCACTAACTTTATTAAAATTTATAATTGATTGGATTATCTGGTTAAAACTCATAAGGTTAGGTTTGGTTATCATGAATTTGTATTTATTTATTTATTTTACATATGTGGAAAATTTCATACAAGTAAAACTTGATTATTTTAACAATAGCCTTATTTTTTTTTTTTTTTTTTTGGTTGAAATAGAGGAGTTTTACTTGTAAGAAATAATTGTAATAAAGTAGAAAATGAATGTAAAAGAAATAATTTTTTTTTTCTTTTTTCGGAAGGTAAGAAATAAAAAAATTTGTGTAAGAAGAGACAGTAGACTATATTTTATTATTTTTCAATTATACTAAAATAATAAATAAAAGAGTCAAATTTTTATAAAGAAAATTACCAAACATATTTTCTTGTTTCTCTTTTCTCTTTTCAAAAATTCTATCAAACTATTTTGGTTTTGACAGAAATGACCGCACAACTTTTCCAATTTTGTAAGTTTTACAAAAATGAAAGCATAGCAAAAAATGAAAACCACAACTTTACAAACAACCCTAAGTAACAAAATTATTTCAAAAGGGTGTCGCTCTCATATTCTGCTCCTGCTCTCACTTTAACTTAAATTTTATCATTTTTATGTTCTCACTTTCACTCTCTCTTACTAACATGTACGTTGTCTCTGATTATTTTAATTCAAATTAAAATGAATAAATACATAAATAAATGAAAATTTCACATAAAAATATATGAGAGAGGTAGCCAAAGATTTGTTTGTGTGTATCAATAAATCACGATGACCCGGATGGTAGATGGATAACATGGGAGAAATTATCGCCAGATAGCACATGGCATGAGAAAGTGCCTCCTGTATTTGGCAATTTTACTTAAACAAGAGAAAGTAAAAAGCAATCACAAAAATCTGAAAAGCATCAATTAAGTAGGTACAATTTAGATTTAAAATGATTAATTATCAACCAAATTACCAAAGTAGGATTCAAGTTCAATTACTCATATCCAATCCTCTATCCAACTCATTTTTATTCACAAATAAAATAATTCATCAAAATCTATTCATCGAATGAATTTGGATGGAGTGGCAAGTAATGTATAATTTTTCACATCTAATGTTCATATAGATATGTCACTGGACAATGACGCAGTGTATGCACATGAACGTTTCGTCCAGTCGCTCCCCACACACACACACATTACAGGGAAAAAGAAGAGAGAGAAACGTTTAGAGAGAGAAAGTGTAGCAACTCCCTCCCCCATCCCTCTCTCCTTCACGCCGGCGTGTTTTCCGACTTTGTTTCTCACTCCACTTCTCTAATTCATCAGGTTAATTTCTGCATTTTTTTTTTTTTTTTTTAAATTTTATTACGTGGTTTGATTTTTCTCTGTTACTTGTATCTATGTGTTTGTGTATGCATATATGTGGCCTCGGGAGTATCAATTTGGCTGATCATGTTTTTTCATAGTTTCATTTTATTCAAACTATGAAGGTGATGAAGAAATGTTAATGATTTTCTTAAATGAAATATTATAATAAAGGTAAATTTTTAATTAACCAAAAAAAAGAAAAAAATTCCTGAATTACTCATTCTTGTTGAGTTGGGTGTATTGTTGCTCCTTATTGTGTTTTGCATACTTTGTATTATTATTATTTTTTGATGTAATATAATTAGGAATTTTTTGGTGGAGGTAAGAGAGAGTAGCAATTTTTTGGGGAAATGCATTCTTGATCAAATTACCAAAATGTGAGTTAATTGATCGGTTTTTCTGCTACAGTTGTGTTATTGGCTGCTTAAATTATGTAGTTCGAGTTCAATTTGATTATATGTATGTGTGGGTATGTATTCTTTAGAGAGGTGGCTAATGATGAGGGTGTAATTATGGGTCTCAATTTTTATGAAGCATGATGTGGGATATTGCTATAGAAATGTTTTTTCTCACTAAGGGCACTTACTAATTTCCGCAATTTTTTTTTTTTTTTTTTTTTTAAATTCCTGAATTACTCATTCTTGTTGAGTTGGGTGTATTGTTGCTACTTATTGTGTTTTGCATACTTTGTTTTTTCCCCTTGGATGTTTCTTGAAGTATAATGAAAATTGATGTAATGGACCATCACAATTTGAAATTTTGAATCGTTGATTTATATATAAAGTAGCAACTACAACAATTAGAACATCAAACTCTTAACCATGATGTTTTTCAGCTAGTAATTTGCAGTTCAATTCATTACTTAAGTAGGTGAATGTATATGAAGCTTGAAGGCTCCTATTTACGAGCAGTTTTGCTCAATTTCTTCTTGGTGAATCTATAATAAGTCTGCTAATCGTAAGTCATAAGGATTGTCGTGACACTAGTTGCACAATGGTTGCTTATTGACATGACATCTAAAAGGGAGGGAAGGGGAGCGGTTTGGGGCTCGATTCTTACTCTAGATAAACGAAAATGAGAAATGAAAGTTCTATGTGCTCTGACATTTTAGTATAAATTAGATATTGTATGTATTTGAGAATTGTTCTTCTATTGCATTACCAAGTGATGCCATTGCCTGTTTGTCTTAATTTGGTTCATATGAGAATTTTTATTGTTGCTGTTTCAGTAGCATCAATGACAGTTGTCAGTATTAAGAAGAAAATACTTAATTCTTCTTGAGTCATAAAGTTACAGTTTTAGTCATTTGTGACAGGAATTCTGCTCAAAGCTAAATGTTTGACAGTACAGTGGTTATAACATATAAGCGAAAGCGACCATCGACAAAATCTCGTCTCTTGTATGAAAATGGGTGACTTAATTCTGCTTCTAAGTGCCCAGCTGATGATACCTTAGCTACACCAGATCAGGATGGCGACCTGACTGAAGAACATAAATCAGAAAATCACGAAACAGATTCACAGGTGAGATCATATTCTTTCGGAAGTTGGAAACCATACTAAATTTGAAACAGTCTGGATTCCGTAGTTAATGTCATCTTTTTGCAACCCAATATTAACATGACATATTTTTTGTTTGGCAACGTATTCAAGCATAATCATGTTTGTGAAATTATATCAAAATGAATATGCTTTGTCAATATATTGACTTAGGTGAATTCTTTCAGTTTTTAATATGTTGGGAATATTGCAGGACTAATTTTTATCTCTAGAAACTTCTTTATAGTTGAGATATAATTTTTAGTCTCAATTGAACATTTGGCAGCTTTTTTGTGTGGGTACTCTAGAGCTAGGCTGTTGGGTACCATAATAGCCTTGATTTCTTGCTGGGCCTATCGTTAGTTGTGCTGAAAACGAAGGTTAAAGAAAATTGAACAAGTTCAATAGAGTTAGGGTGGGATACTGTTTTTCTGTATAAGTCGTTTATTCATTCTGGTATGCTCTTTAGATTTTGACATTTTGATTACAGAGGGTTAATACTAAGAGGGCTAAAAGATTGAATGAGGAACACTTAATGTTATGGCCCTCGTAAGACGAAATTTCCAAGTAACTTAATTATATACAAACTTGTTGGCTCAAAACGTGATGATTGCATATACAGGGGCGGACTTATCATGGGCTGAGTGGGGGCGTCTACCGTCACTGATTTGTTTTATTTACATTATGACCTATAGTTTTTGTTAAAATTTTAAAAATACCCCACTCTATATTCTTGTCCCCATTAATATTTTTCAGTCTTAAAGAAAGTGAAGTAGTTGAGTCTCTCTCTTGTTTTCTCACTCTCTACCACCCCACATCTCATTTTCTCACTCTCTACTGCCCCACATCCATGGTAATCGTCTCTCTCTCTCTCTCTCTCTCTCTCTGTGTGTTTTATCTCTTTAGCATCTACCACTATACAAAGGGCATTTTTTGCTATGAATATTGTGAACGATCAATTGCGCAATCCAATGAGATCAATGGATGAGTCATAATTTGAGTGTATATGTTAAAAAAAAAAGAAAGATATTTGGTAACATAGATAATGAAGTTATCATATGGCATTCTCAAAATATGAAAACTTGTCTAAAACAATGGTAATTGTACTCGAAAATATCAATTACTGAAATTCTTTTGTTTATTACGATAATTTTTTTAAAAAAATTATTCTTGTCGTTC